GCTGCGTGTGTTCCGTAATACCATATATTTTTGAGTTTCCAGATTTACCTTTTGGAAAATTTCGGGTCCATGGAATTAAAAAATGTGGGGTAACTGATAAGGTTGTAGTTAATTTAATGGGAGGGTTCAGTTCAAGCATTAATATTAAAAAATTATAATAAAGGATATTTTTTTTCGAATGAGATTCTACTCAACGTGAAATCATAATAATACGATTTCAATACATATTTAAATGAGAAAAAACTTTTTTGTTAGTGTACATTAAGGTTAAATATTAGTATGTTGTTCAATTAATAATACATGAACCAAACTATTACTTAACTTAAAAAGAATTTTCTTAAATGTTACTCGGTGATTACAGTTTCAAAATATGTGAATAAAAGATATTGACATCACAATCTAATCTCTTAAGTCTGTTACGAGACAGTTAGATCTTAGCTTTTTTAAAATATAGCTCAATTATTAGCCAGTTAAAAAATGAGACAAATGACAGTGCTTAGATTTTGAAAAGTTGATATTCAACAACTTTAGTTGAGTACGTGGCAGGTTTTGGAGATTACACGTATAAATCACATAAAAATAATACTAATAAAATATACATATTACTTCTTTTATCACATTTTATGAGAAATTAATTAACTCCACATGATATGTAGTTTTAAGACGAAACTTAGATATTTAAATGAATATGAATCATTTTATTGGAAGTCTTAATAAATTAAAATGAAATTTTCTTTAGTGATAATAAGATTGATATTGTGTTCAGGCGTAGTACTATATGCCCTTTAACATTAATTTGAGTTTACTATTATACCCTTTAGTTCTGGCGCGCATAGACATTTAAAATTGTTTGAAATTAAATAAATATACATATTTAAATTGTATGCAAACTATATCATATAAAATTCATACCTAAAATTAGAGCACATGAATATAAAAATAAAATCAAACGAAAAAAATATTTATGTGTTATATCTTTTTTATAAGATATAATTATTTATTATATAAAAAAATGTTAAATAAAATGAAAAATTGAGATAACGATTAAAAATAAATTTAAATAGTCAAAAAGTGCAACGAGAAACCTCTAAGAAGCATCCAAGGATGGTTGTAACTTTAGTGCAGAATTTCTGCAACAAATTAGGCAACTTGAAAACTAGCAAGTCGACCCTAAATGTGACCTAAGACATTATATTATATTACGTCTATTTTTTTCTTGTTGGACTAAATCCTCATCACAGAACCAAAACCGCCTCCTTCTCGAACTTTCGCGATACATACTTCTATTTTAGAACCCTCGAAAAATGTTATTTCAACCACCACCCCCGAACGTAACTCTCTATAAAAACAAAACAATATAACACCACTTGAACCATAGTATGGATCAAATAGACATTTACTCAAACCCCAAATGCATACGTCCAATCATGTTATTTACAAATCAACCAAAAAACTCAAAAGCTTTAGAAGAAATGATCAAACTTCATCACACTCATGAACTCTCACCAAAGCAATGTTCTTCATTTTTAGTCAAAGTCATCGATGCACCACTTCCTTTAGTATGGTCTTTAGTGAGAAAATTTGACAAACCACAATGTTACAAAAATTTTATTAGTAGCTGCACACTAATCTCTGGTGAAGGTGGTGTTGGTAGTATAAGAGAAGTGAATTTAGTTTCTGGATTTCCTGGTAAAAGAAGCATAGAAAGATTGGATATTCTCGATGATGATATGCATGTAAGTGTGTTTAGTGTTGTTGATGGTGATCACAGTTTCTCGAACTTCAAATCTATTATGACTTTGCATGAGGATAAAGTAGAAGAAGATCATGATATAATTGGTAATTATTATAAAACAGTGGTTATTCACTCATATGTTGTGGATATACCTGAAATTAGTTGTAGAGATGATACATGTGAGGTGACTGACAATATTTTGAGATGGAACCTTAGATCTTTGGCTTGGGTTGCTGAAAATATGGATACTAATGATCAAGTTTCTTCCTTGGACTTGAACGAAAAAGAAATTACTTGTTAGTTTTTTTTTTTTTAAAGTATTAATCATTCAGTCTTCCTAGCTTTTATTTAGGAGTATTGAAATTGAATATTGGTGTTTTAATTAGTCATTATCCACACACAATGAATATCAATATTATATTTTCGATCTCTCTTTAATCTTGACTAATAGAATTACTTAATGTTGCTAGAAGAATTTGTGTTACTTCTAGCAAATAAAATTGTATAATACATTATTAAAATAAAAAATAATAAATATTAAATTAATTAGTCTTGACAAATAGAGTAACTTATTGTTGCTAGAAGAATTTGTGTTACTTTTAGTAAATAAATTGTATAATATATTATTAAAATAAAAATTATAAAATAATAACTATTAAATTAATTGAGATATGAATAAACTATTACGATTTAAACTAAAACGAAGGTCATTGTGTTCTTCCTCCTTTGAATTCCGATTTGAACTAAAATAAAGGTTATTGTGTTCTTCCTCCTTTGAATTCCTTAATTCATGATCATGAAGTTAGTCTAATTTTCTTGTATTAAAGAAATAAAATTGTCATAATTAGAAGCAATAATGGAATAATGTATTTTACATAAATTTACAATGTTTCTCACGTAGGAGACAAATTTTATGACTTTTCACTCCAAGAAGTCAACAAGTGACAACATATATATGGCAGTGTGTTATCAAAGCTGGAAAAATCGTGGCAAAAAGATAGATCTGGTGGCTACGTGACACAATTTAACATCAATCTTCATGACTCTTTAAAATTGATGTCTATCGTGTTAGAAAATTACACAATAGTAAACATTCTCTCTATTTCTATTTATCTATTTCTTATTTTTTATATATATTTTTATTTATTTATTTATTTTAACAAATCAAAAAGTATAAAATTAAAATTTTAATATATTTTTATTTAATGTTAGAAAATTTTAAATATTACTATATTATAATACACACTTTTTGAAATCAAAAAATATATTTATTATATTTGAAAAAATTCAAAAGTTATTGAAGTCAAATATTTAAAAAGGAAATATGAAGATTTTGAAGATTCAAAGGGAAAAATTAAGCATATCGCAGCAGGAAAAATTGATTTGAACAAATTTCCCGTAGAAGGAGAGATATTTGATAATCCAGAATTACAAAATACATTTGGTAAAATTTTTAAATGTTACAAAAAACTGTGAAAGTGTAAGTATTTTGTTTCCCTCCAATTTAATTCAAAGAAGTGGTTAAAAGTGAAACGTTGTCATAAGTACTCTAAATAAATTTATGAACTTTCTTCAAAGTTATCTTGAGTGAATTTATTTTGAGATTGTAAATTGTACTATAGGATAAAATTATAATTAATATATGATACTTATTGGTGTCTTAATATGTGTGTCACTTCTAAAGTGATAACAAAATAGGAATATAGGGAATAGTAAATAGTGGGCGTCTCTGTTTCTCTATCCTTTTTACGTGTAAAAATTAAAAATGTCTAAGATATAATTAAAAATTAATGTTAATTAATGAGTCTAAAATAATGTTCCTTTTCTAAATTAAAAATAATCTAATAATTATTTAATTAACTATAGAAAATACTTATTCTACTTTAATTTTATATATTATCTATATTATGAATTAAAAAAGTAAATGAAGTTAATTAATTAGTTATAATGTTGAAATAAGTTTGAAGGGGAAAAGATTATACTTATTTAGTTATGAAAACGTTAACATAAAGAAATAAGAATTTGATTCTGTAATAGTAATATGTTTAATTTATTATGAATATAATATATTCAAAAAGGAAAATATACTAATTATTTATTAGGATAAAAGATATTTTTGACCCCTTTTAAGTAATAAATTTTTAGACCAAATTATTTAGTACAAGGGCATATTTGGATTATTTTTACGTAGTTTTTTAAAAAAAAATTCATCCTTGTAACTTATTTCACCTATTTAATCAAAAATTATTTTGATATATAAAATTAGTTTTAACAAAATAATGTTCTTTCAAAAATATGTTGCTTACATAAATTATAAAAAAAATATATAAGAAAAATGTTAGAAAATGTAAATATCTTGCTAGATTGTGAGTCAAATCAATACTTTTGAAGCATAGATCAAAGTCTGATTTTGTGATTCTTTTGCAATAATCTTATATTAATAATTTTGAACTTTTGTGTGAATACTTGAATAGATAAATATTATTAAAAAAATATTGTATATTTTAGCGTAAATTACATAAATCACGTAATTTTAATATGAAATTATAATCCATCCCTAATAAGTTTTTAATTGCATTAATTTCTTAAAACTTTAAAAAAATCGAACACAATGAAGCTCGTATATATTAATATGTAGCTTGAGTACATTATTATGTAGTTTGGATAAATTAAAAACCAGCTCGGATACACAATATGTAGCTCAGATATATTAATTATTGGCTTGGATACATTATTTCCTCCGTCCAATATCGTTTGTCATGGTTTCTATTTTTATAGTTAAACTATAAAATCCTTTGACTAACATTTTAAGATATATTTTTTAATTATATTAATAGCAAATAATTATAATTTATAGTATTTTTATATAGTTTTAGAATATCTAATTTTTTTGTTTAAAATATTGAATTAATATAATCTAATTTACCTTTAAAAATTAGTTAAATTGACTTTCGATAAACGTAATATAATAAATAATTTTAAATAGAGGAAGTAATATATAACTTGGATACATTAAAAACCTGTTTGAATTCATAATATATAGCTTAAATATATCTAATATTGATTCAGATATATTGATATGTAATTTAGATATATTAAAAATAAAAAAATTATTTTTAAAATTAATATAAAAAATAATAAAAATAAGTGAAACAAAATGTAGTATTTCTGTAATTCGTTCGGTAGAAGAAACTCGTTTTGCGTGTTCAAAGCGTACAGACAAATGAGTTTATTTATTTACAATTAAAAAATAAAATCATGACTTCTAACTTCTAATTAAGCGTGAACCCAAGAGAATCACAAAATTAATTGTTGAAACTTCATATGATAAATTTTTTTTTAACATTTGATTTAAATTATTCCAATCACAAATTAGCTATCGAAGGGTCTGAATACGGTGGCTCTCACCGTCAGTCAGCAACACCGTACTCCGTTCTCCGTCTCCGTCTCCGTCTCCATCTCCATTACCGGTGAAAATCTGTACAACTACAATCGGTCCCATCTCCTTGTGGTTCGCGTATTATCGGGTTTCCGTTTGTAACTCCGGCTCGATATTTGAACTTCGTTTGAGATTTTTTTTAGGTTGTCCTGCTTTGACTCGACGCAGAGTTGAATATATTGAAATTGGCTATCAAAGGTCCATTCTTTCAAACTTCGCCTTTACTTTGGAATGATATATTGCTACTGTTCTATGCTTAATGTATTGTTTTGGGTAAACATTGATGTATCATTGTCGACAACAAGCATGCTGTATTTTAGTTCATTCTCAAACTGGAAATAAATTTACAAAGAACTATCCTGTGCTGTTGAAGAGAAGTTGGACTATTGAGGTTTAGTTCATAAAGTAGATGAGATTCCATGTAGTTTTAGAAAATGAATTGAAATCTAAATAAAATGCCCACGAGTCTTTACAAAGAATAGTTGTTGTTTCCTCTTGAGTTCACAATTAATGTTGCCTCATCTAGTTATCTGAAGTTTATGTCTATGCCGAACTTGAGGCAGAAATCAAAAGGGAAATGCAGGTATCTAATTTACAAATGGAGCAAAACAACTTGTCTATCTTGTACTAGGTACATTTGGCTAATGATACTATGTGCATTTTGTAAGTGACGGTTGCACATTTTTTCGAATAAGAATATCAGAAGTTCTTGTAGACATTTCCTTCCAACCTTAGACATAAGAAATTTGACAAATCAATTCTAGGAATGCAGCAATATCTTCTGAATTGATAACCCTGAAAAGATTGCATACCTGACTATTCTATTTCTTGGAACTTCAGCTCTACTCTAGCATTTCATCAATTCATTTCGATCTACTTGTAAGTTTTTTGCAAATTCCTTGCCTTTGGATTTGAAGTGTTCAAAATTAACTCTTTGTTCTGTAGCTCTCGCTTTATCCTTGCTTTTCCTGAAAATCAGTCTTTTACAAAGAGTCAATTAGTATCTCCATGAAGAAAATGTTATCTTGAAAAAATTTCTGAACTTTACATTGTCAATTGCTGTGACAAGTATCTGCGCACTATTATTTTCTCTTTTGGATTACATAGTATCCAATCCCTCCTTAAACAAGTAATAGTACAACTGCGTCAACCAGTCATGCCACAATTGGAATCCATTTCTTCCATAAGTACTATGACCTGTCACTATTGTTCGAGGTTGATAGGCTTACTTCTAGAGGGATTGAACTCTACAAACACCCAAATATGATCAAACTTGCCTACTTGATATGCATTATAAATTACTCAAAGAGAAGAAACCCATCTAGGCTTATAATTGGCCTCGTACCTCTAGTCCTCCATCCAATTCCTTTAAACTGTTCGTTGATTTACAAACAAGTTATGCCTATATTAGTAATCTAGGGATTAGTAATGCAATGACTGCATAATGCAGGGATTATGATGTTTGGTTTGCTAAATTACATATTATTATAAAATGTATAATTTTAAATATTTTTTTTTAAATTACTTCAATTTTAGTATTGTGAGGGTTAATTTTGTCATTTTAGCATTTCTAATCCATTACTATCATCCGTGCCCAACTTGTTTGGGACTGAAGCGTTGTAATTCTGATATCCACATTCTTATTTCACATTCTATCCAGCATGAAATAATATGTAAATTCCTGCATAACTTATGCAGGTATTATTTGTGAGGAAAACAAAAAGGAGCAGCCAAATGGTCTATCAATTAATGCTATTTTGTACATTGAATTTAATTATCCTCAAATCCCAACCAAACGTTTTATAAGCTCATGCCGATCAGTTTTATCTGTGGGTATTAGCTCTTCCAAATCCCAAACCAAACGACCCCTTAGATTCTGAACAAACATAAGATATCCTTTGTTTCTATTTATTTTATACTTATTCTAGAATTTAATCATGTGGTGAAATGCTCCGGATTTCAACGTTATTATGATCTATGTCGCTTTGCATTGTTTTGGATTTTAGTTGCTAATATGTTTATTGCTAGAGTTAGTTTTAAAGGGTTTCTTTGTTGAATAACTAGTAAAGTATGATTAAGTTATTAGAATGTGTTAGCAATTCCTCTGTTTGACCAGTTCCTTCATTTGATGAGTACCAGGAGGGCTCTCTCCTCTCTTGCATACCACTACAGTGATAGAACAGAATTAGAAAGAAATGATGCTCTCAGGTTAAATTTCTCTTCATGCTTCTTTAAAAATACACTTTCTAATAGGGCTGACCTCCAGGAGTGTGTCAGCGTATGAGAAGCAATAGACAACTTCTAACTATCATATTATACAAGTGTCATCTTATCCCGATACTAATGGTCGATTTTAGATTTTAAGAGATGTGGGTTGTTCCTCAGTGCAGTGTGCAAAAGAGCATTGGATCTCTACAAAGTGCATATCATCCATAACCCTGAGAGCTCTTCCTAAATCTATAGAAACAAAGGAACAAGCGTAAGGCCCGTGGACGTGCCATTATGATATTACTTTTCCTAAGAGCTATTATTAGCAGCTAAAATTTGTTTAATGTTCTCAAAAAAAATCTACTTATGTCAATTTCTATGGCCCTTCTTATTTAATAATTTGTCTGAGTGGCATAGAGCACATAACATTGTGTCAGTTAATGTAACTGTTTATTTTGTCTTAGCCATAGTTCTGTGTTTTTCAGTGTTCATCATGGCAACTCAGCTTCAACCAAGAGTAATAGGCATTCCCAGAAATCAAGGTAAGTGAAAGTTTGGTTTGGATTAAATGGACATTCTTTGCACTTATATTACTCCCATCTTAAACGGAATTTTTTTTTTGAAAACAAGAAAAAAAAGAGTAAACCTTGTTTTAGAAATAATCTGTAATTTCAGAACATGATAAGTAGGAAATTGTAGGACCTTGAATTCACTTAAGAAAGCATGTGATGTGAAGACCAAGGAGAAATCACCACAACTATTACTTACTCTGTTTGTCCTTTTTAACTTTTTTTCACACAAGCAAAAGAGAGAAGCAAACCAGGACTTGGATAGGAAGCTTACAGCATTTATTCTCGAGTTAAGCCTTGGTTTTTGATTGCTTGCTTTTTCCACTATTTCATTTTTTCTTGAGCTTTTTTAATCTTACTGAGAAAAGTTTTCCTTTTTGACCTTCTCTTATTCTATTTCTTATTACCAATATGTGGAAAGATGCAAATTTGCTGTTGATAGGTGTTTGAAAGTAACTAATTATAATTTTTCCTTAAGATTCTTTTAGAACTGTTACAGATTTCTGGTTGAAGTGCAATATGATAGAAATGATACATCATTCTTTTGCTGAAGCTTCTTTTTTACAGGTTTGTTCGATGTAAAAGTATACACTACAAATAGAGCACGACTGAGGACTTCCTCCAGGAACAGATTTATGTGCACATTAAATCAGTCAGCACATGTCTCGGCTCAAACAGAGCAAAGAGAAAGTAGGAGTTTGGTCAAAATGTGTGGGATTACATCAGCTAGAGATGCTGCTCTTGCAGCAGAAGCGGGAGCCAATTTTATTGGTATGATCATATGGCCTAACTCAAAACGTTCAGTTTCACTTTCCACTGCAAAGGAAATCTCGAAGGTTGCGCGGGAATATGGAGCTCAGCCAGTTGGTGTGTTTGTAGATGATAATGCTGACACAATACTAAGGGCCTCTGATGCAGCAGACCTTGAATTAGTGCAGGTGAGAAACTGTCTATCTATCACCATTATGAATTTCTTGTTTTCAATACTCAAATCCACAACACATTCAAATTGAGCAGCTTCATGGAAATGGATCTCGAGATGCTTTTCCAGTTTTAGTCGGAGAGAAACGTTTAGTATATGTTCTTCATGTTAATGAAGAAGGAGGCCTTATTAACTCTGTTTCAGATGAGGAGTCTTCTCTGGTTGATTGGATTCTAGTGGACAGTGCCAAAGGTGGCAGGTACAGTTCTTCCTTATGTATAAACCTGCCGTTGCCATGAGTGTGTATGTAATCATGCACTCTCTTTTGACTACGCTTAATCCCATCCCATATGGAGCTAATTAACAAAGATGTGATTCCATTTTATTAGAATGATTAAACCCCTTTTATGGATTAATTCGTACCAAAACCTCTCTTTTTTCCAACTTTAGCATGACCGAGCAACTGAATCTAACGAGATGGGAATCAAACCACTAAACTGTGCTGACATACTTCTGCAGTGGCAAAGGGTTCAATTGGGCTCAGTTTAAGCTACCATCAATTAGAAGCAAACATGGATGGCTCTTGGCTGGAGGAATTAACCCGGAGAATGTTTGTGAAGCTCTTTCTGCTCTTAAACCCAATGGAGTGGATGTCAGTAGTGGCATATGTGGACAGGATGGCATCGAAAAGGATGAGTCCCGGATAGTATCATTCATGAATGAAGTGAAATCTTTACGCCTTTAGTTAAATACTGAATAATGGCAAATTCCCTAGTGCATGCAAATTGTTAAATCAACTGCAATATTAGTGCTTGCTGATCCTCCTGTAATTGCTCAGCTGATTAGTGCAAAGCCAGGACTTATATCTCCATGAGAGATGCATCAAGTTTGTATTTGAAAATCAAGTAACATTACATACATTCCTTGTGTAATGGAATCAAAGTATTTTGTCATGTCAGATAACTAGTAAAGTCACGGTCACGTCTTGATTTTGGGCACGTATAGAGGAGCGTGGATGCTCCAATGAGGAGTTACAAGAGATTGACAGTAATAAGTTTGAGGAGAGGTAGATTGAGGAAGAATTGGAGAGAAGTGATTAAACATAATATAATAGATTTTTAGTTCATTGTGGATATGATCCTAGATAGGAAGGCATGGAGGTCGAGACTCGAGAATTATGATAGAGGTTTAGTAGATAGGAGGGCATGGAGGTTGAGATTCAAACTTGATAATCACATATTTGAGGTTCATCAAACTTAGAATAATATCCCTTAAACTTTTTTTTCTTGAGTGCGTTGATTTCATTCACTTTATTATATCTTTTAATAATAAGATGACGTTTGTCTCATTTGATACTTGAATTAGTTGAATAACTTCCACGTGTTCATGTTTACGATTTTTGAAGAATCGTTAATCATCAGAATTTTATTAATATTTGCTTAGTGATTGATTTGGTAGTTGAGAATAAAATATCAAGTGGGAGTGTCACGTGATACTTACCAAGTAGAAGTAGTATTGGATTATTTTTTAATTCGTCTTTAAAAAATGATATATTTATATTTTTAATAACAATTTAATTTTTAAAAATTTATTTTATTTTAATAACATAATTTATAATTAAGATTTATTATTTATTTTTAACCAAAAATTTTAAATATCTTTCTTTCTTACTTTTCGTTTATTCAAACTAATTCATATAATTAAAAATAGAAAGGGAACTATTATTTTTTTAGGACAGATTATGACAGAGCAATAATTCATTACAATAAATAAGAAAGTAAACTGAAAACGACCCAAAATAAAGAGAAAAAGAAAGCGTGGGCTTTGGCTGCGTGAGATTATGACAATTGAAATTGATAATAACATATGATAATAGATTGACAATCAGGCATTCAGGAACTTTAAGTTTAAATATGAATATTATATTTATTTGAAAATTTTATTTAATATGTTTAATTTGTTAAAAATTAAAATTCCTTCGCGCATAAATTTTAAACTCTAACTTTCATCTTTGTAATTCAAAGCAAGCAATATACCTTACAATTCACCTATTATCAAAAGTTACAATAAAAAAATAGTAAATGTATCTTTTGTTTTTAAAAATAGAAACTTGAAATTTCAACTCTATAAATAAGATTATTTTCGTTAAATAATATTTTGTTGTTACCATATTTTTAATATTATTTTTTTTAATCTCAGATCTACTCATGAATATCAAAGTTTTAAAATATTGCCCTTACAGTAATGGTGGAAGCCACACACAGATATATTAGACTTTTTTTCTTTCAATTAGTTAAGGGTATATATGAACTTTTAAAATGGTTTAATGAGGTGTATTTAACCTTCCCAACTTTTAATTCTTCTTCTTCTTTTTAAAACAAATTAATCAGTCAAGTGTGTACTATAAATTATTGTATTTGCTAATAAATTATATAAAATTTATTTTTGTCTAACAATGAAATACATATAATCATTTATGACCTATTTTTTCCTTGATTTTGATTAAAAGTTGGAGAAAAGAGCATTCAAATAATTTAAAGGTAAAGTTGACCCTTTTTAAGAAAACATACTTTTGGGGTTGTAGGGTATACTTGAATTAATTGATCAATAACGAAGATAGTGTTTATCCCAAAAAGTAATAAAAGGGTTGAATTAACCTATTAGGAATCATTTGAAAATATATATTTGACGTTTATAAAACGTTTTAATTTTAATTTTAAAAGATAAAAAAGTAAAATTTTATTATTATAATTAAAGATGTTCTAATTTTATAAGAAAAAAATAGGACCTAAAAATTTGACAAAAAGAAAAAAGAAGAAGAGAAAAGTCTAAGGGCCCGTTTGGCGTTTGGAAAAAATTTGGCAAATAATGTTTGTCCATACAATTTGTCATTATTTGACAAATATTTTTGGCAAATATCTCAAATTTCCAAATACTAGTTTTTTCTAGTATTTGGGCCAAATATCATTATTTGAGATATTTTAAAAATTAAAATTTTACCCCAATCTTTTATCTTTTACAAAAACACCCTCTCTAGTATTTGCTTGCGTTGTATTACATCATTTTTTACGTGAACACCAAAATAGTGATAAAATATTTAGTGAATATTAAATAATGATATGATTGTTGATGAAAATTATTAAAAATTGGCTTTAGGTAACAAAGTCATGTACTTTATCTACTTCACGATGTATGGAATAATTCTTGTTGCACTCACTCCAATTGCTTCAGTGTCATGGACATTATTTGTTATTGTTGTAACTAACATTCAATTGACTTGTAATACAAACTTTTAGTTAGTTTTGATAGTTTTTAAAACTTGTGTGTATAAATCATATTTTTCTAAAAAGGTGAAATATATTTGCCAAATTTTATGGCCAAACACATGGTGAAATTTCACCCAAATTTTTACTCAAATAATATTTGACAAGAATATTTGGAAATCTATCACAAACGCTAGCTAAAAAGATATTTCTCATCCAAATTGTTATAACGATACTCTTATTTAAATAGAAAACTTTTTATTTAAAACTATTTAATTATAATATTATAAATAATAACGTATTCACCTTAGATCACTTTAATATATACTATTAAAAGATATCGAATAAATGATCTTTATCAAAGTTCAGTATTGTTACGAAATTCAGATTTGCGCCTGGGATTTGCCAAATGATAATCGGAGCAGTAGCATTGCCATCAACAGTAACTCATCACAACCAGCTTCTCTGGTTCCAATTTGACAAGTATTTCTTTGATTGTTACCAATAAATCAGTAATCATCGCTATCGCCGTTGTTCAAATCGACAGCTAACTTGGACGAAATATAAAATTTCTTTGTGAGTACAGTTTTACTGTTTTTTTATGTCTACTGGTGCAATTTTGCCATTTTTCTTCGATTAGATACAAGTCCGACGAACTGAGCCGATTTAGGGATCGCCTGTCCCGGTTTGCCCAAGTTTATTTTTCTCTAAAAGTGTTTTCTCCTTTTAAAAAAGTAGAGTTGTTTGACTTCATACACCCACTCAATTTGATTGGAGTTGGTAGGCCTTTGAATAATAATTGATGAAAAATATCAATGTATGTGCTATCTTCAAAAAAATCTTCACTAGGTTCCACATTTCACGGCCCTCTCAAAAAGGAAAACATACATAAAAATGTGTAATCAACTAATAATTGATTCAATTGAAAAAGACATAAATATATCTCACTGTGCTGTTGTCTTTAAGCTAGTTTTATATTCCTATAGCTAGCAGCAAATGCACATGCTTTTTTTTTTTTTTTCAATTTTCTTATGAACACATGCTTTACATGAACAATGTTAATCTACTTATTGATCCCTTACCTACCAACACATGCACCAGTACAATTTACAAGTAGTTTTAAGTTATATACAATATCAATGTAAATAATTTCCATACTACCAAGTATAATTAAGTGATTTGATTATGGAAATATCGTATTGAGTTGTTAGTGAATAGAACTTCTTAAACTTGAAATAAATTATGGTTATTTCAAAACAGTTGACTGAATCAATGAGTATCACATCAATGAAATCGAGTCATTATATGGAAAAAGTATCACCAAGCTTCCAATTGCTCAAATTATTTTAGTCACCAGCTGTATATGGGGACAAGCAATAAATATTGTGAGTAGCTCAGTTCATTGAAATATAATAACTAGAAAATACTTTTAAATTTTAAAAAAAATCCTCACCTACCGTCTACCGTCCTCTTCTTTCTTAAACAATTATATTATTCTCATTTCTGAAATCTGAACAATAGTTAACTGTTCCCACAATTTTTCATCATATCATGGCATTGACTGATAGGGAATCTCATTAAAAGATGCCTTGTCTAAAAAAGTAGTATCTAGTATAGATATAGATATATTGAAGTGCCTCAAAATTATTTCATGGTTGATGTTACTGAAAAATGAGAGTAAAAGGAACCTATCTTCTCTTTTTTCTTTTTCTGATCTTAGCTGGTTTATCATCTCAAGTTTATAGTATTTCTAGTGATTTTTCAATATTAAACAGATCAAATGAGTTCATATCAGATGAAAGTGTTTTCCAACTTTTCCAAGAATGGAAACAGAAGCATGGGAAAGTTTACAAGGATGAGAAAGAGGAAGAAATGAGGTTGGAGAAGTTTAGATGGAATGTGAAGTATATAGTGGAAAAGAACTCAGAAAGGAAGTCAGCTTCAGAACATTTCGTTGGTCTGACCAATTTTGCTGATATGAGCAATGAAGAGTTCAGGGAAGTTCATGGTTCAAAGATAAAGATACCCTTTAACAAGAGAAATATTATTCAGATGAAGAATGTGGAAGAAAAACCAACTTCAATTTCTTGTGATGCTCCTCGTTCGAGGGATTGGAGGAAACACGGCGCTGTCACTGAGGTCAAGAACCAAGAACGATGTGGTAAGCTCACTTATGCTCTTTTATCCTTTTCAATTGATCATGTTAGTATGTTACCAATAGCTAGATGTTGTCTTTTCTGTCTGCCTGTCAGTTGGCCTGAATACTTGAATAGTAAAGGTTGGGAATAGAGTTTCTGCTTCACTTTTTTCTTTAAGTCTGTTACAGTTTTAGTATTACCTTGTTGCTTATTGAATTGAGGTTGCCATGTACTTCTATTTAGTAGATCGCTGGATAGTAAAAAAGGAAGTTGAACGATTTGAAAATTCAATTGACAGGAATAAAAAGGGTAACTCAGCGGATAACTCTGTTTCTCTCATATTATAGCACATAAGGGTGCAGTTGTTTCTTTAATTTGATTTGCTAATGATGGAATTTAGAAACAAACACCGATAACTAGGTTCCACTTGGAAGATGTGCTATTGGATCTTCCTTCGGTCCACTTATGTAACACAGAATGGGAAAATGGAGATATGAATACCTTCTTTTAAGCATCAAGCTTGACTATATTCTTGCGCAGGATCCAACCAAAATAATTTTTTTCTGCTTTGTTTTAGAGAAATATTTCTTCATTTATATATCCTGGTTTTTGGAGCGGTTCGTGTACTTATACTTTGTGGTGGTTTATAAATAGCACTGGAGGCCACATTTAAGTCAACTGACTTACACTGGGTACATGTTTCATATCTGGGCAGCTTCTATGCATTATGTTGCTTGACATAAGTAGTGTCAAAGGCAGAATAGGCAATCTGCTAATTGAGCTAATTTACAGTCTAATTGCAATATGTTACTATGGGTGTTTCCTGCTTGCAACTTCGTGACAAATAAGGAGCAATCCAGATGATCCTTGGTCATTAAATCTATTTTAGTGGAGTAATTACCTTGATTTCTACTAAACATCTGCAGGAGCTTGCTGGGCATTTTCAGCTTGTGGAGCCGTGGAGGGAATAAATGCAATAATTACTGGTGAACTTATTAGCCTTTCTGTCCAAGAACTTGTCAACTGTGATAATTCAACCAATACTGGCTGTTATGGTGGATATATGGACCATGCTTTTGAGTGGGTGATCAGTAATGGCGGCATTGCTTCAGAACTTGATTACCCGTACACATCCTCTCAAGGCGCATGCAAGATCACCAAGGCATATGACAGATCAATTTCATATCAAATCTTATGTTCATTTTCAAAATAATATCCTTCTTTAAAAGAAAATCGTTGATCAGTGTTCCTCAACAGGTGAACCACAAGGTTGTAACAATTGATGGATACCGAGATGTTCCGCAGGAGGAAACAGCCCTTCTTTGTGCTGTTGCTCAACAACCTGTCAGTGTTGGCATCGATGGAACGAATGTTGATTTTCAGCTGTATAGAGGGGTACTCTTTATCTGTTACTCCTTTTTCACACATTTTTTTTGACCTTTCTTCTCTCAAGAATTCCAAAATGACGTTCACTTTGTTCTTTTGTATTATGGAAACATGCAGGGAATCTATGATGGAAGTTGCTCTAGTAGTCCAGATGACTTGAACCACGGAGTACTAATAGTAGGATATGGTTCCGAAGGAGAAGATGACTACTGGATAATTAAGAACTCATGGGGAACATCATGGGGAGTGGAGGGATATGGATATATAAGAAGAAACAGTGATTTGCCATATGGTGTTTGTGCCATTAATTCATTGGCTTCTTATCCTACGAAGGAATTATCTTTTGAACTATCTCCTTATCCATCTCCGGCTGTTCAACCACCTCCACCACCATTCCCTCTGCCCTCTCCCCCATCTTCAGCCGTTCCACCACCTTCTCCATCCCCTTATCCCCCTCCACCACCTTCTGCATCATCTCCCT